CCATGTCCACTTCATGCGCCACAACCTATTATTCTCAAGCTTGCGGGACGACACTTGACGAGAACAATTCCTTCGATCGCGATAACGCATGGTCCTGCTTTCAAGATGTGGCATTTATGATGGAAGAGGTGAATATATAAATACCCTCACTGTACGCCTTCTTACTGCGCTTCGCTTCTCAACCACTGCAGACCCAGATACAAGTCAACCAAAGTTATCAGTGGCTCGACTGTAGTGACTGTGGCTCGAGTGGGCATCAGAGTATGGTACGTACTACAGCTACTCATCACAGTTGTCGTACACGACGCGTCCATCTTAAACCAAATGACTAACTGCATACCTACAGCCTGTTACACGCTTGCAGTTGTTTTCGATACCTCCCGTTTATGTTCCGGGCTCGATGTATGGTGCCACAGCAGGCGGCAGCCTCGGCAGCGAAGGATCGCAGAACACAGACTGCGACGCCATCGCTGACGAGGGATGGCCGGAACTGCAAGGTGCAGAGCTCTCGAAATGCTCGACATTGGAGGGAGCACTAGACCAGAAGCATATAGCCCAGGTGCGAGGGTTCACTAACCTGTTTGCACGGTTGAGTACTAAACGCGCGGACAGGCCTATCGTACACCTCAAACCGTCCATATGAACCTCACACCAGCACCGATGACTTACCCTGCCTGCCCCGAGGCAGCCACATCGTCGGTACCCAAGTTGACCATGTACTCGACGTTGGCCGGTGCCCTCGGTGAAGAGTGGGAAGCGCAGGTAAGACATACCCACTTACCTGCTTGAAGTGAACAAATACTAAAGGCTTTCAGAGGACGCAGCACGCATCCCAATCCATCGACATGTACGACACCCTTATATTGACGACTTCCTCCACATATGCCGAGGCCCTCGCACCATCAGTGTCTCACCCTCAGATGTCAACGTACGACGTCCGGATAACTGCAACCTGTCAAGAGGCATCAGAATCCGTCGAGGCATATGCTACCCCTGCACCGACGACGTACGTAAGCTACAGCAACGACAATGTACGTTCACCTTCATCCGCGCCTCGGCTCTCGGGATATAGATCGCCAACGGGCGGGATCCATTGTGAGCTATTAGATGAATTCCAGGCCTATGCTACACCCAGATCGATGACAACGTCTGGAGAGACGGATGAGAGTACACCATCAGTATCGTCTACTCCACAGAACATACCTTCGGAAGGGTGGGGGGATGGACGAAGCGCCGTATTACTCCCCTATTCGTATCTAGAGAGGTTAGATCAAGGCGGCAATCAGGTACAAGCTCTCGCCTGCACAATATACCATAATATGTGACCATCGGAACTGACTACGGATCCTTCTAGCACTACGAGTGCCCCGAAAGATATATGTTGAGCGAAGAGGCAACGAGTGAGGACTCGCATGATCAGGAACGACAAACCATTGACGACAGGATCATGTTAGCATACTCGGGGAACGTAGAGGCATGGAATGAAGTGAGTATGGTGCGAGCTCACCTTCATACGTTCGAACCCTTCGTACTTATCAGCCTGCCCAGCTCCATGGGGAGCAGACAGGACCGCTAAACAATCATGCACAAGCTTTGGAGGACTTGTGCTTTATACCCATTGGAACGTGGGGAGGAAAACTTGCTACGTCGCTTGGGCAGCCTTCACGAGAGACGCCCGAGGTACGAGTTGATTTATGTGTGTCCTACCCGGAGGTACTGACTCGCGCGTCTTACCAGCTGTATACGTCGGCGACAGAACCTGGCCAAGTGGGGCCCACACAGGCGACAGGGTGCATGCGCGATACGCATGACTACCATATCAAACTCCCGGAGCTATTACAGCCATTGACACCTGAACTGAGTCAATGGTCGGCTCCGGAGAATCCAACTATTATACTCACTGAATATTCAGAACAACAAGTGACTGAGCCACAAGCGGGCACCTCAGCTCATGACCAACCGTACGTATTTCTCTCATACCAGCCGCCACAGTCGATGGCAGAGAGGGCGGTGTGGGCTGGGGAGACCCCAGCGCCGAAAGAACGAAACAGGCCCCGAAACAAAGCAACAATCCCGAAGGGTACACCCAAGGACCGGCGGGTAGACCATCGAAAGAGGTATCGGTGGTGGAGAGGTGACGAAGGGAGATAGACATGGTGTAGAACGGAGGGATAGGATGATGTCCGTGCCAGCAACAGTTTTAGTGCGACTTACGAGGTTGAAATAGTTCGAGGCATCCGATGATGGACATGCAATTCTACGCTCTGGCCGTCACTAGGGTTACCGTTGGAGAAAGGAATCAAGAGTACGCCATTCAGACGGGACTCACAAGTCTCACAAATCATTAATCCCAATGGTATTCGTCATGGGCTCGCGCAACCACGAACACGAAACCAGACCAGAGTGTTCAATGACACGTTCCTAACTCTTCGACGCAGGCAGTTCGGGGAGATGACTGAGATCGCTAGGTGTAATAGCGGTTTTATGGGATCCATTGCTCATCAGATAGGCCCTACGAACGACAGAACAGGAGACAAAGAACGTTCTGTCGATGAGTTTCTGACCGATGAACGAAAGATTGGAGAAAAGACCCCAGATATCCCGCCTGATTGGTTTATCTATATATAGGTCTTTACATGCCGTGTACGGTAAGCTCGTGAGGCAGTTCGTGCAACGCATCGCAGGTAGGGCTTCATTGCGAAATAGGGATTATCTCCCATATTACCGAACACTAATAGTCAAACATAGGTTCACTGGGGAGGGAACTCACGCGAGGGGGCTAATTCCTGAAGGGGTGCAGGGATTCAGTGCCACACAGCATGACCTCTCGTGGTGATGTGGTTTTCCAAGGACAAACAGCTTGTTGCAATGCCTTCAGCGGTAGATGTTCTCCCATTTATAAGACCCAATTAACTTGTTGATTTAGCTGAAGGAAAGCAGCCGTACTCGCTCACCCTGAGGTGAATAGGTTCTTATCCGTTAGCACGCTGCTTCAAAGTTCAAACCAGTTATTACTCACACGCGGACTACCATTGAGTAGTTATGTTATTGATATACGACATATAAGGTAAAGTTATATTGTACGCTGTCATTATGTGGGCGTTGATCTGAGATATCCGATTATTTCGCCCAAGTCGTGACCCTGCGAAAGTCCTCTCCTCGGCAACTTCCTGGCTTTCACTACCACTTCCTTTGTCGCCATCCACTGCAAGCTTCCCAGTTAACTTCTCCAGCAAGCACTATGTTGGCTTTATGCCGACCATGTAATTATTATTCTTCGCCGTACTCCCCTGCGCTAGACGGTGATAACTGCGTCGATGGCGCCCGGACTTACCCTGGAAGTATGGGATATAATATGATGCAAGCTGTAAGTGAACCTTGAGCCTCTTGATATCCTGCCCGCTTACGTTTCTTCATCTCTCAGCCACTAAAAACCCATATCCATGCCACCCGCAACCACAATGAGCCCGTAGATAGCACGTGTGGCTCGATTGCCTATCAGGACGCGGTACGAATTTATATATTACAGACATGCTACCTGCGAGCTAATATCTACGCAAAACGACTGACTCAATATCTCAGTACACTATGCACCCCGAGGCATCCGGCACGTCTACTTTCGCCGGGCCTTCAACCGGTGCCACATACCAATACGACTTGGAGGGCGGAGACTGGGACGCCCTCGCCTGCCACCAAAAATGGCCGACACTTCAGGGTGCAAAGATATCTGAGGATTCTACATTGTCCGGTGCATTACTAGAACGGGCTGTGGGCAAGGTACGAGGGTTTACTCACTTGGTGGCAGGGATGTGTACTCAATGCTTGCTCAGACAGATGAGAAACAACAACCTCTATATATATACGTGGAGCGCTTGCCTACCGCTCTCGCCTCCAGTGGTGTTACGGCAGCACCCTACTCGACATTGACCGGTGCGCTCGGTGAGAGGCGAGAAGCAAAGGTATGAGTACACCTATTCTTGTACTATGGATCAATACTAAAAGCTCTAGACATCTGAGGAGCCATACCTACCTACTGCTACATCTACCGTCCCCACATTGCCGACTTCCCCTGCGTCTGGTGACCGCACCACCTCACTCCCATCGACGCATCAAACATCGATGTACGACCTGCCAATATCATCCACCTGTCATGGAGCATTGGAAGCGGTCCAGGTGGATGCCATCCCCGAGTCGACGTACGCCAGCTACTGCGACCTGGCTGGGTCACCATTATCGTCAACAGCTCAGCCAACGGGATATGGTCAGCCACAGGACGGGATCCGCACCGGGGCACTAGCATCAATTGAGGCGTATGATACTCCCATATCAATGGTGACGCCTAGCGAAGACGGCGGGAGTATATCGTCAATGTTCTCTGCTTCACAGATCACGCCTATGGAAGGGTGGGGGGAGGTACAAGTGGAGATTGATAATCAGGTACGAGCTCTCACTTACAATCTACCTTCAGGACTGAGCCTCGCGTCGTCCTAGTTCCTGGCAAAGCTGGAAAGCTTCGTATCCAGAAAAGAGACAGCCGACGCGGATCCTTACGATATTGATTTGCGGGATAAGCAAGACCTCAACGACGTCGTGTTCACAGATACGGGCCTCGGAGGCACGTGGAATAATGGAGCGGATCAGGTGCGAGCGCGCCTACACAATCTTCTAACCTTGGATATTCATTCTCGGTCCTCTAGCTCTACGTACCGAAGGCAGAACAAGCCCAAGAGGATTCGTCATATATCCTTATCAGAAAACGGCCAGCTCATCTCACTAACTCGCTTCAACAGCCTTTATACGAGGCGGAGGAGGTACGAGCTGACTTACGTGCGTGGTCCCGAGGTACTGACTATCATGTCCGCCAATACGC